GTTTGCCGATGCTCTCAATATAACTTTATTATATGGACAGCTGAGAAATCAGCACAGAATTACACTGTATCTAGAGAATGCCAACTGTTGTTTTCTCTTTTACTAACAGGAGGAAAGTAGGAAGGAGAACAGAACGCCATCTGCTCGATCCGAGCCAGGAGTCAGAGAAATCTCTGCTACAGGTGTGTGACAAGGACACGTCTCAAAACACAAGCCGTTATCTCTCACTCTCTGATGATCTCTTATCTCACCTAAAGCGATCTGTCGCCTGAAACCATTGTTTTTCCCAGCTTTTCTGCTTGAACACAGCTTAACACACCCTTCATGAGTATATAACATGGGAAGTTTGAACGTTACTAGCTTTTTCTGTTTTTTTCTGTTTTTTTTTCTGTTAGTAAAAAAATCTGTTAATGATGGTGAGTTAGAGCAAAAAAAAAATGTTAAACTGTACAGAGCAGGGGAACTAATGAAGCAGGATGAGGAAATGCTGATTTCAATGAGTCTAATACACACTAGTGTACAGATTTTATCCATAACGAGCTTGCATCAATGAGCAGGCAAGTGAGCTCAAGTGTTATCAGAGGGAGCAAACTAAATTACATTGTAAACTGATTTATTAAGTCTACCTTCTTACACTCGCTTTCCAGATGACATGAAGATATAAGAGATTTGATTCGTCTCCTACACACTGCCATACAGACCGAGGCTCAACATCTGGCGGACCATGGTCTGAAAAGTATTTCACCGAGCACTCGAAAATACTGCAGCAGAACCGATAAACGCTTCTTTACAGATCCTTTGTTGTGGCAAATCACGTGCACTTATATAAATGAATTACCTGAAAGTAGCTCACCAAAAAAAAAGAAAGAAAAAAAAAGAAACACAGACTTACATACATTTTTGATAACACTTTGTGAAGCCCTTATTCATAAATCATTAAAACCATGCTTATAATTCTTCGTAAGATTGTAATGATTTCTTGTAAGCATTTTTAAAAATTCTAATAATGCCTCATAAAGCTTTAATAACATGCTATACATAATGCTTTGTGTCATATAGTGTTGGAGACAGATGCAAGTGCAGAGTTTTAATTAAAGAAAAGACAAATAAAACAAACAAGGGAAAAACAGTGATCATAAACAGAGTGAAACAAGAGCTAGGGAAACGTGGCACTGAACACAACAGGCTATATACAGTACAACAGACACTTAGCTACTAAACAAGAAACAATGAGAACTTAAATATGAGCACTAATCAAAGGGTGAAACAAAACAGGTGAGTAAAATCAAGAGAGCATGTGACATGTGATTTGTAGTAGTGTGAGGGGGTTGATGGGTAATGCAGTCCAGCGTGGCCATATCATGGCCAAAAACAATGCTGATGTGACAGAACCCCTCCAAAATGTGGCTCCAGATGTGCACACAGTCATAAGATGGTCCTAGACCCTTGCCCAGGAGGAGCGACATCCCCAGCAAATGACACTGTGCTTTTTAACTGTTTATAGTTACATTTACATACACTATATTACCAAAAGTATTCGGTCACCTGCTTTGACTCACATATGAACTTAAGTGCCATCCCATTCCTAACCCATAGGGTTCAATATGATGTCGGTCCACCTTTTGCAGCTATTACAGCTTCAACTCTTCTGGGAAGGCTGTCCACAAGGTTGAGGAGTGTGTTTATAGGAATTTTTGACCATTCTTCCA